GTGATGAAAGCGTTTTGAAACTAGAAAGAGGTGCTGGTTGCACAGCATCATGATACAAAATGTCATTGAGTTGCACACTTTAAAATGGTTAATTGTATATTATGCCAATTTCACCTCACTTAAAAAAGTCGTCATATGTGGGAAATTGCTTTGTTAAGGCACGACTACAACTACTAAATAGGTTTGTATTTTTAAAAGAACTTTATGGAATTATAGGAAGCATTTCTTGATGCTATGAGATGTGTTGGAAATACAGAAGAATAGCTTATTTTGGAACAGATATTATTGCCTTGAAATTTTGCCAGTTCAAGCTGGTCTCTTCAGAAGACTAGACCTTCTTTATTTTCTGACTTGAAAATGCTTGGGACGTATGCACCCTATTATTTTGTTGTTAAAAATTGTACCATTAACATCCCCAATTTTTTCTCCTGAAGCTCAGTATAACCTAGAAATAAATTCATTGTTATACTATTTCATTAACTACACGGGTACTTTTGTAGTTAATAATGATGCATAATGTCTTCATGTGGCAGAAACATTAACCTGTCCCTTGTCACAAATCTGTAAAAAGATGGACATTGGTTTAAACCCAGTTGTTGAATTCTGTGCTTTTAACCAGTATATTACACTGTCTAGTTGGGGAAGAATCACAAATATTCTTCTTCTTTCTTTAGAAAAATCCAAAACAGCATACAAACTAGCAAACTCTCATAAATGTTGTTTGAGAAAACCAATTACCCTAACAACTAAGACAAAGGATCTATAAAATCTGATGAGAAAAATCTTTGTAATTTGATTTTTATAATTTTGTTAGCTTAAATTGGTAACAAATTAATAATTATTACTTTTGTTACTCTTATAATAAATAATGTAAATAATAAAAAAAAACCTCTTATAATAAATAACCTTCCATAAACACCTACAACCACACTTTTTACCACAGTCGGTGGAGTGAGAGGTGGATGGAGGAGACAGTGGCAGAAACACCCCAATCACTTTCAATGATTAAAGTAAAGATATGTCTAACTTTACTCCTAAAGTATCATCCAGTAAAGTGGAATGTAAAACATACTTTTGAACTGTTTGAAATCAGCTACATTCCTATGGCTTACATCTGCGGGACAAGTTTCTAACTATCAGATTTGATTTTTAATTAATCAACTGGTATTTTATACCAGCAGTCCCCAACCATTTTGGCACCACGGACCAGTTTTGTGAAAGACAATTTTTCCAGGGACTGGGGGATTGAGAGGGTGAGGGAGGAATGGTTTCGGAATGATTCAAGCACATTACACTTATTGTGCATTTTATTTCTATTATTATTACATTGTAATATATAATGAAATGAGTATACAGCTCACCGTAATGTAAAATCAGTGGGAGCCCTGAGTTTGTTTTCTGCAATTAGACAGTGCCATTGGGAGGTGACGAGAGACAGTGACAGATCATCAGGCATTAGATTCTCATAAGGAGCGTGCAACCTAGATCCCTTGCATGCACAGTTCACAATAGGGCTCACGAGCCTATGAGAATCTAATGCCACTGCTGATCTGACAGGAGGTGGAGCTCAGGTGGTAATTCAAGCAATGGGAAGTATCTGTAAATACAGATGAAGCTTCCTTCACTGGCTTACCCGCCACTCACCTCCTGCTGTGTGGCCTGGTTCCTAGTAGGCCACAACGTGTAAAATAGGGGTCCTGGTACCAGTTTGTGGCCTACTAGGAAGTCTTTTGTATGCAAAAGAATATTGTTGACTTTTGCCACACGGAAGCCCCCCTCGCCCCCCTCCCCCCACCTTTTTCCTTTCCGGTTACATTCCCACAGGTATTCTTAGTACCACAACTGCAGTTGAATTTCACAGTATGGTGGGTGGCAAGCTCTGGTGGGCGGTATGCTTGGATAAGGCTGGCTATTTAGAAATGTGGAATAAATTTACTGTTATGATTAACAGTAATGTTGCCTATCAAAAATTGTGAATGTTAAGAAATGTTTTCAACACAATCATTAATGCTTTCCAGTGAGTTAAACCAGCTTCATATTGCAGTTGTATTTTTCATACCAGTAGGGAGTCATTATTAAATGGGGTCATGTTTTCAAGCCCAACTTAAAATCCCTCTTACAGATTGCCTTCCCCCCACTGCCAAGTTTTCTCTCATCACTTAGACATTGAAATAATTGCTTGTTGTTTTCCCTCTTTAAATTTTTTTTGAGAAGTCAAAAATTGAATACCTTGTTCAGTGTTTTTGCTTATGAAATACTTTGTGAATAAATTTTGGTTTTGGCTGAAGAAAATTTCTTAGGCAGTTAAGAAAATACTAACAAGCTAATGAATAAATAAAAATTAATGTGATTGATCCTAATTGGAGATGTAACATTTGCCGATATTTAGCAGTAATCCTTTTGATCACTCAGATATTTGTAATTCTTTGAGAAATAAGAAGTTGAGAGGACTGGGTGCAGTGGCTCATGCCTGTAATCCCAACACATTGAGAAGCTGAGACAGGGCTGACCAATACTGTGAAACCCCATCTCTACTAAAAAAAAAAGAAAAAAATTAACCAGGCATAGTGATGTGTGCCTGTGGTCTCAGCTACACAGGAGGCTGAAGCAGGAGAATTGCTTGAAACTGGAAGACAGAGGCTGCAGTGAGCCAAGATTGCACCACTGTACTCCAACCTGGGGGACAGAGGAAGACGCTGTCTCAAAAGCAAAGAAGAAGAAATAGGAAGTTAAAAGAGCTTAGGGAAGCACTGCAACCACTGGCCAGCACCAGTACTCCATCATAGTATATGCTTTTCACTTCTAAGGAACTGTAATTTAAACTGTGGACTTTGGGTGATAATGATGTGTCAACATGGGATGACTGGGTACAACACATGTTGCATTCCAGTGGGAGACACTGAAATGCATGTGTCGGGGCAGGTGTATGGGAACTCTCTGTACCTTCCTCTTAACTTTGCTATGAAGCTAAAGTGGCTTCGAAAATATAAACACAGAAAAAAGCTTGTGCTTTCTATAGATTGATTTGAACATAGACACATTAACATAATAGATACATTGATTTGAACATAGGTACATTACGTTGAACACTTTAGGTTTTTATGATATCCTATACCACAATAAATTGAAGAAGTCTGTCTCACAAAGCTGTTCAAAGAACTCTAATGCTCTCACTGCTCCTTCACTGCCTTGAACAGGAGGGTCTTACCCAGTGCAATAAGGTGGGAAATAAAGTGTGCATACAAATCAGACAGGAAGAAATAAAGCAGTTTCTATTCACAGATGTAGTTACTATTTACGTTCATCAGCAAGGTTTGGGTTTTATGAATGATAATATTACAATGTAAAAAACACTATTTTCATTATGTAATGTGTTACCTACAAGACGCTGAATTCACTCTGCCCTTCTTATGAGAAACATGTTGGGCCAACCTTTTGTTTTTAAGTTTGCGTACAGCCTTACCTGTGCTCTTTCAAAGTAGATTTTCGCTATTTTTAAAACTCTACTAAGGTAAAGATGTATTTGGCCGATGAAACTACTGGAGCAAAATGTTTACACTGCATTTCTGATTTGATGATTTTAATACAACTGAATTAGTGTTTTCTCCTATCTCTATACAATATTAATTCCTGGGATGCCTGTGTAAATTAATTTACTGACCAGAACTCTAGCCTCTTATGGTTTTATTTTCTTAACATTTAGAAAGGGCTAAATTCAGAGGACATAAATTTTCTCCATGAGGTTGTTTAAATTCGGTTGACATTTTAATGTGGATTGTATTTGAACTTGAACGCCACACGCATTTTTAAGTCTGGTTCCTGGCTTCTGTCACTGGTCCGTTGTATTTCTCACTGTACTGTTCTTTTATGTTGCCTCTTGTCTGAAATGAACCTGATTTTTACCTTTTATTTTCTGGGTTAATTTTATGAGTTTGTGGGGAGCCTCACATATTGTTAGTGTATCTCCTTAAATAACATGCATTGAGACTGAGGTTGGCAGATCAATTGAGGCCAGAAGTTCGAGACCAGCCTGGCCAACACGGGGAAACCTGATCTCTACTACAAATACAAAACAAATTAGCCAGGTGTGGTACTGGGTGCCTGTAGTCCCAGCTACTCGAGAGGCTGAGGCAGGAGAATCGCTTGAACCTGGGAGGTGGAGGTTGCAGTGATCCGAGATTGCACCACTGTACTATAGCCTGGATGACAGAGTGAGAGTCTGTCTCAAAAAATAAATAAATAAACAAACAAACAAGCAGGAATTATATAATCCAGCTTTATTATTTTAGCTCTAAACTTCTGGTGTATAGAGACAGATTTTCAGGGATTTTGGTCCTGGAGTAGAGACGGCTGCAGAACCTCAGATATTACTGAATTAAAAAGGAAAAGATTGTATTGATCATTTAAAAGTGTGGGGATTCAAATGCTAAGAGGATAATGATGATGATGAAAGCTTGTTTATGGGACATTTTACTCTTCCAAAGTCTGGGAAGGAATTTCAAGTGTATTCCGGGGGACTTCTGAAAGTATTAACCAATGTTAGAAACAAAGTCGCAAGCCAAAGGGATCGCTTTTGAATTTAGGCTTGTGATCCATCTTCTGTTAATTCACTGTTTTAATTAATAGAAGTCTGGAATATTTATAGAGGACTGTTTATAAAACTTCACAAATTAGAAACTTGGAATTAAAAATATGTATATAATATTTCATTGTGTAAAAACAGGATAATATTTAAATATTTGGCCTCATGAGAATAATGACTCAGATTTCTTGTTTTGAGACTTTCTTAACCAAGTTTTTATTAATATTCATAACATTTATGCAACATGAAGATTCTGAAGGGACTTTATTGTTTGAGAACACATCTATTTCAGATCTGCGGAGTGTATCACTGCTACATTTTTTGTTTTGTTTTTGCTGTGTCTTCAAAGTGACTCTTGGTTTATTGCCTGCTAAGCCTAATAAATGTATAATAAATCTGCTTATTTTATCACTTGCAGGTGCTGTGGTCTTTAGAATTGGGTCACTGGATTTCTGAGGAGCCATTCGAACTGTCTAATCACTTCCCTGCAGCTCCTGTAAGTCAAATATTGTTTTATGATGGTAAATGCAATTTGGTGTTCTCAAGAAATTATTATAAACGTAAGGGTAGAATTAAGTTTTTATCAAGTCAAGCACAATTATGCCCATAATTAAAAAGACATTCACAGAACTTAACATCTTTTATCAATTTATTTGTGGGAACAAATGTGAGAACGTGAGACCATTCTGCAAAAAGTGGTCAGGAATGCAGTCCAAAGAAAATTTAATGATTAAAGTCCTCAGAATTGAGAAAAACAAAATTGAAAAAAGACTGAATTCTTGGGCAAGTAGTCTTATATCTTGCTTACTGTTTTTCCTGTTGATAGAGGCAGAACTGATAGATGTAAAAATTATGGCTTGCTGGTGCTGTGGTAACAGTCTTTATATTTTTATGACTTTCCTAAATTTCACTTCAACTTTCAAATGCTTCATGGAAAAGTTCTGGGTTCTAATTTTTTTTAAGATGAAGTAATAATTAAGCGGGTAATTTAAGGTTTGGTTGGATATAGAATTGTGCGGAAGTTGCCTTTCATGTTCAAAAATGTTAACTTGCTTGTGACAGTTTATTCATTCAAAAGATTAATATCTGAAAGATAAATGGTGATTTTTATCTGCCACCCGTATTGTTATATAGCTGTTTGAGTAGGCCGTATGGCTAAAACATAAAAAGGAGTTGAACTGTGCTCCCTGATCACTGTAGTTATCTAGGTTGTTGGGTTGTTTGTTTTCATTTTTAAGATTACTGTTTGATTTCCTTTCAGCTTTATAAATGTTTTCTTAAGGAGAGAAAAGTTCCTCTCAGCAAAACTGTTTGTTTGAAATACTGTGTAAGGAACTGAAGTGTAAAGTAAAAACACAAATTCCCCCCATTCTCGGTCATAAGAGATTATATATGATGCCCAATGACATAATGAGGATTTGTCCTTGAATTTTGTTTCACCTGCCTACATGGAAAATTGATATAAATTGTGTTGTTGCCAGTTTTTCTTGCATTATCATTTCCCTGCCTAAGTATCCATCACTGTTGTCATTGAAATATCATAGAAACTTGTTGTTGTCTTTTGAGGCTGTGAAATTTTCTTATTTTCTGTTGTTTTTCAACTTGATACAAGGCCATGATACTGTTGTTGAATTCATAAAACCTTCTTAAATATAAAGTAGATACAGTTCTAAGGTAGGGAGGTTCTTGACTCAGTTAAATAGTTGTTGGAAAAGTGGACCTTGGTGGAAATAAAACAGAGCCTTGACTTTGCCAGAGTCCATCACTGACTCAAAATATGTAGCAACACCTATGTGTTCTAAAACTACATCAAGGGAGCGGGGAGAAGTTGGCGTAAAATAAATTAGATTTTAAAATGGAATAAAGAAAAAATAATGGTAGAATACTTTAAGGTAAAGACAGACGTATAGTAGATGCTAGTTGTGGACTGGACTCTGAACTTCCTTGCAAATGACTCAGAAAAGAATATATGAGAGATTACCTTTAAATTATAAAGCTTTACACAAATGTTCATTAGTATTAATTGTACTATGAAAATTTCAAAAGGAGTTAAAACTCTAGGAGTTTATGGTTTTGTAATCCTGAGTATAAAGCTGTGTTCTCAAATTTTCTTTTCTTTTTTTTTTTGAGATAGAGTCTTGCTCTGTCACCCTGGCTGGAGTGCAGTGGCGTGATCTTGGCTCACTGCAGCCTCCGCCTCCTGGGTTCAAGCAATTCTCCCTGATCCAGCCTCCCAAGTAGCTGGGATTACAGGCGCCCACCACCACGCCTGGCTAGTTTTTGTATTATTTAATAGAGACGGGGTTTCACCATGTTGGCCAGGCTGATCTTGAACTCCTGACCTCAGGTGACCTGCCCACCTTGGCCTCCCAATGTACTGGGATTACAGGTGTGAGCCACTGCGCCCGGCCCTGTGTTCTCAAATTTTCTGTAAATATTTAAATATATTATGAACATCAGATTTTGTTTTTGCACTTTGAAACACTTTTTTTTTCAGTTTGCTGATTGACATAAAAAAATCTTACTAGTGTCAATTATTTTTTTCCTTAAGTAAATTTAAGGGTGAATCTTGAGACGTATAGTTTTGTAAATTTCTTAAATAGAAGGCTTTTCTCAACTACAAATTAAATTGTAGCCTAGTTCTATAAAAATATATCTTACTAGAAAAGAAAACACACCTCTGTTTTAGAATAGTGAGAAGATAGTAAAGTTTCTTTGTCATAGAATGAAATGTATAATTTTCCTCATCATTAAAATCAAAGGTTTCCTTATCACAAGGCACAATTAGTTCTTTCAGAAACAAATTATAAAATTGTAAATATTATCATAAAAGTTAAACATAGGCATATCCCCTAATAAGTTATATTTAATTACTAAAAATACCTTCATATTTAACAATCAGGCAGAAAAAAATAGTACAATCTGCATATAAACTAAAATGGCACATGTTTCTGTTGATAATTTCAGAGATCCTAGAAGTTTCCACCATATAAACTTGAAATACGTATTTGAGCATTAACTTAAAACTAAGCTGTCAACATAAATGTAAATACGCTGTTTTTGAAATAAAAATTTAAAGCACCTAAGAGATGGAGTAAAAATGCACTAACTGCTTTCCAAATATTAAACTTCTAGTAACCCCTTCTCAGAATATCCCTGAATATGTCTTTTTATGGCTTAGAGATTTTTTTCTTCCTTTTAATTGTGATAGTGATGGTGAATTCAGGACATATGGGTATTTACACAGTGTGTAAACAGTGCTCAGAAGAATGCAGTTCCAAGATGATCTGTATTGTATAACATAAGTGTTCTGTTTTCCAGTTATTTACTGATAAACTTGCACATAACATTCTTCGTTGTGACAGCAGAGTCTGTAAATTGTCAATCTGATGCTCAGCCTCTGGTTCATCTTTCCATAGGTGTTCTGTCTAATCACCATTACAGATGTTTAGGGTCTTGCTTTGGTCTGTTAAGTGATGCAAGTTTAAGTGACAAAGTTTACAGGCTGTAATCTGGAGCACATGGGTCCCGTCAGCACTGAGCACACGCCCTCTGTGGTGGAAGAGGACACAGTGCGCAGCCGTGACTTTCAGTGCATTGGGTTTAAGTCTTTGAAAATAGTTCGAGACAGTCTTCCTCAGGTGGACTCGGGTGTTTAGAAATCTGCCGGTCGGATCATCATGGTTGTGGCCTTGAGCGAGTAGCCTGAGCCTTTCCAGTAGTACCACTTAATGCCGTTGAACTTATTTGTGTTCTGCCTTTGTGGATAGTACATTCCGTTCAAGTTGGAAGGACCACATGCATCAAACCACCAGCCTGTGAAAGTAAAACACAGAAGGAATTAGGAACTAGGTGATGCCAGCTCCCACAACGAAGACAGCAATACTCAACTAAGCCAGGAGGCACGCTGCAGGCATGTGGAGTAGGCACATGCAGATGGTTGTGAGTATAGGATGTGCACTGGCAGAGATATGGTTTTCCAGCTGTATGCCCACGACATCACAGTTTTATTACTGCAAATGCTTTTACAAGCATTCTTCCACCTTTTTCCCTATTCTGTGTGGAGAGGCCTGAATTCTCCACAGTCCTATTTGGTTAGCCCACAGTGTGTACACACTTACAGCGGGGATAAGCAAACATCTGAGGCGCAGTTGGAAAACTGTCCTTCAACCAGGATTACTTACCAGTCCCAGCAACATGGTGGGCTGGACTCACTCAGGCTCCCGTTGCTCTATTAAAGGATTTTTTTGATTGAACTTTAACCCAAAATATTAAGTACTCAGTGGAGCTACATAAAAAGGAAGTCTCTGTGTTTCAGAGACAAAGAGGAAATTTAAAGTGAGAGTGTGCGCTCACTCAGCTAGAGCCAGGGCAGGAGAGGTGCCCAGCATGGGGGCTGTGGGAGTGAAGCCCCATCTACACCTTAATTTCTGGGCTTGGCCAAAAACAGGAGCATGCTGGGGTTTGTGAGAGAAAGCAACACAGTAGTCCCCCCTTATCTGCTGTTGTCGCTTTCTGCACTTTCAGATACCTGAAGTCAGCTGCGGCTCTAAATATTAAATGGAAAATTCTAGAAATAATCTATAAGCAGGGGCCGGGCGCGGTGGCTCATGCCTGTAATCCCAGCACTTTGGGAGGCTGAGGTGGGTGGATCAGAAGGTCAGGAGATCCAGACCATCCTGGCTAACACGGTGAAACCCCGTCTCTACTAAAAATACAAAAAAATGGCCGGGCGCGGTGGCGGTGCCTGTGGTCCCAGCTACCCGGGAGGCTGAGGCAGGAGAATGGCGGGAACCCGGGGGGCGGAGCTTGCAGTGAGCCGAGATCGCGCCACTCCAGCCTGGGCGATAGAAATAATCTATAAGCCTTAAATTGCATGCTGTTCTGAGTAACGGGATGAAATCTCCTGCTGTCCCCTTCTTACCTCCCAGAACGTGAATGATCCCCTCTATCCCGTGGATCCACGCTGTATCACAGTGCTTATGTTCAAGTAACCCTTATTTGACTTAATAATGGCCCCAAAAGTGCAAGAGTGATGACGCTGGCAATTCAGATATGCCAAAGAGAAGCTGTAAAGTGCTTCCTTTAAGTGAAAAGGTGAAAGTTCCTGACTTAATAAGGAGAGAACAAAATCGTACACTAAGGGTGCTAAGATCTACAGAAGAACAAATCTTATCTCCATGAAATTGGAAGCAATACGTTGTATATTATTCAGTTTTATTATTGTTGTTAAGTCTCTTGTTGTGCCTAGTTTACAAACTAAACTTCATAAATATGTGTGAACAGGAAAAAATAAACACATAGGGTTTGATACTGTCTGTGATTTCAGGCATTTGCTGGACATCTTGGAATGTTTCCCCTAAGGAGAAGAGAGGACTGCTGTAACCTTGATTTTACAATATTAATCTGAATAAATCTCAAAAACACTGTGTTGGAGGGACACATACAGTATGATACTCCTTATATCAATTTTTAAAATGCAGAAAATAATTATGA